AGACCAGCCAACATTCTACGTCCTGTCTTGTTGGAGGCCCAGTACCTCAATACCCAATCTGTCGAGGACGCTCACATCAGACTTGAGATTGGCGATTCGACTACCGCTCACAAAAGTCGATGCGAACCCTCACGCCCTGCTAATCCTCTCCTAGACCACAACCACCACCACCACCACCCGAGCCACCGCTCGCCATGTGGAGGATTCAGAACCGTCGCAGTTCACTAGCGTCACCGACACGTCGTTCAGCCTTCACACTATCCGTAGATATGCTTCGTACGGATACGACACAGACTGCATTGACTTTTGAGATGCAGCTGACGATACCGCACCCCGCGTGCGATATCGGGAGACCCTCTTCCAGTCTTGTCACTGTGACACTCTCGATTCTGAGCAGATACGGCGCCTCTTTCTGCACCTTTTCTCTTCTCCAACACCATGCAATCGGGATAGACAAGTCACAAGGTTCACCGCGGGAAAGCAAGGCCACTCACTAATCATTCATGACTGTTTCTTATTTGACTCGCGTGTAGCAGCAGCGTCGGCGATGGTGCCGAGCTAGTCCTGTCAAATCCAAAGGGGCCAATTACCTTAATTCCTCTCGATCGGCGCGCTGCAGCAACTACCTCTGATGACGCGTGGTTATGACAATGATCTCGGGAATCTGAACCACTGCGCCCATACACATGTAGACCATAGGAACGAGGTCTTTGGCTGATGCGAGCTATTGCGATGCGGTATATCCGTACGTATAGTCAGATACTTGCGGTCTAATTGCGAAAGGTCATCAAAACGGAGCATCTGTCCCGTTTCGCGGCCATGGACCGAAGTCGCCCCCACATGGCAGCAGCCAGGCAAGTTCGGGAACAACGGGCGGAACACGACGTGAGAAATGAAGTGGCCACCGCCTAGTGTACGGGTAAATTTGGTCGACCGTCGCGCCTCGTAGGTGCGGTTCTGCCGTTGCGTTGCTGAGGCACAGCATGCGTCTTTCCCTCGCGTCCTCATCTCGAAATGCCTCGATCGCCTGTTTCTTGCAGTCTTGGCTGTCTCGGGTCCAGAAACGTCTGTGCCGACGTGTCAGAGCCTGGTTGCATGCCAGACGTCGGCTGGAAGAAAATTAAGAAAAACTTTGTCCTGGTCCGAAGTGTTGCATCCAGTGTCACCAAGAGTACGGATACGTGTAGCAAACGGAGGGATTGTCCTGCGGCTCAACCGGCCGAAAAAGGGCCCCCCCTTCCCCCATTTGCCCCGTACAGCAACAAACCAACAGCAATCAATGTGTTGCTGGCCCGGTGGTGAACACAACAGTTCAATATTCGATTGTCTCCAAACATGGGCACCGAAAGGGAATCTGCAAAGCTTACGCCATGTCTTGGCATGCCAGTCTATTTTATCTGCTCGACTTTCGATATTCTCCACGTCCAGTAGATGGGAGTCTCAGGCCAGATACACAGAGAGTACGAAAGTCGGCCTCGACGGACGAAGAAATGTCTTTTACGGGACGGCAGCGGAGGAGTCTGCCAAGAGACATGGCTCCCTCGAATGGCTTCAATTAGCCTCGAGCCGAACTCCCCGACCCTAGACATCCTTGTAATCCTCCTTGGACACACCCCGGCCACTCTCCAATTCCTTATCAGTACCCACAGGTTCTGGCGGCCCACACCATGCTCGAAGACATGGGATGGGGGAAGGTCAGCAAGGGTCCTTGAAGCATGTGGTGTAGGTACATGTACGTATCCCGTGGATAGTGTTTGTATGAAGCTGTCGCGACGAGGCGCTGCTCGTACCACTGCCACGCAGCTACGCCTGTAGAGGGACATGTCCGACTGCCTCCTCCCGGAGACAGACGAGGATTTGGAAGTCGCTCCAAGATACAGCCCTCTTCTGCTGCAGCTAGACACCCTCTCCGCGTCTCACGCCCTTTTATGCTTTCTTCCCACCCCACGGCCCTGCACCATTAGTGCTGCCCGGCATACAGGACTGACTGGTCAATGAGCGACCTCCCCGTCCCAACTTCTGGCTTCCCATCCTTCATCTTACCCGCGCCATCGGTCTGGGCTGCCCATCCTTACCCTGTTCGGATCCATCCAAAGATACTGCAGTGACTGTACGGATACAGTATTACAGAGTGCTCGTAGGCTCAAATGTCGGCCGGCTCACGACGAGGGGCCGAAGGCACGCCCCGGTTTTGCTTCTTCTCATGTTGCTTTTGGATTATTTAGCCTGTCCATCCCCGGCGTAGTCTTCAACTTTGTATCTCTTCCCCCGTCCCTTCGTTCCCTCCCTTCCCTGCAGCCTTCAAATCCCATTCTTCTCCTTCGACGTCTGTTCGCCGATCTCGAGGCTGGCAAACGTTGAGGATTTCCGAGGCCTTGAACGGAAACCGTGCACCGAATTCACTCCATTGACCGCCCAGGCGCCGGCGCGCAACTGTCACCATGTCTGCCGGTCTCTACACCATTCCCTACAATGGCACTGAGGGTACGGCCGACGCCGGCTACTCTTCTGGAGTGGCCGACCTCAACGTCTTCTATGAGGTGAGCCTTCACGATGCTATCGCCCTCTTTGCTACTCTATCCATGTGTCTAACACCTTTGTGCAGTCTGGTGACTTGGCCTGGATTATGGTCTGCTCGGCACTCGTGCTGCTTATGATTCCTGGTGTCGGTTTCTTCTACTCGGGTCTCGCCCGTCGCAAGTCGGCGCTGTCCCTGATATTGATCTCGATGATCTGCGTGGGCGTGGTTGGATTCCAATGGTTCTTCTGGGGGTACACTTTGACCTTTTCCCACACCGGCTCCGTCTTCCTCGGCGACATGTCAAACTTTGGTCTCAAGGACGTCGTCGCTCAACCTTCTGTCGGCTCCACCAAGATTCCTGATATTCTCTTTTGTTTGTACCAGGGCATGTTCGCCGCTATTACGTGAGTACACTCCGTGGAAAAGTCTGCATTGTCCCCCTCGAGCGCTCTGTGCAAGACGGACCTCGAGCTCTTCAGACACCGTTCCCTTGCTCCCGGTGGCAGCATCTGACCTATCTGTAGTCCCGCCCTCGCGCTTGGCGCCATCACTGACCGCGGTCGTATCCTCCCCGCCTTGGTCTTCGCCTTTATCTGGGCCACCATTGTCTACGACCCTATCGCCTACTGGACCTGGAACAGCAACGGCTGGCTGTTCATCCTCGGCTCCTACGACTTTGCCGGTGGTACCCCCGTCCACATCTCCTCCGGTGCTGCCGCCCTTGCCTACTCGTTGATGCTGGGCAAGCGCACCGGTTACAACAGCGTTCACGGTCTTCCCTACCGCCCTCACAACGTCACCCACGTTGTCCTTGGAACTGTGTTCCTCTGGGTTGGTTGGTTCGGTTTCAACGGTGGTTCCGCTCTCGCCTCCAACATCCGTGCGGTCATGGCCTGCTTCAACACCAACCTTGCTGCCGGTGTCGGTGGTGTTACCTGGATGCTCCTCGACTACCGTCTGGAGAAGAAGTGGTCCACCATTGCTTTCTGCTCCGGCGCCATTGCCGGCCTGGTCGCCATCACCCCCGGTGCTGGTTTCGTCACCCCCTGGGCTGCCGTTATCTTCGGTATTGTTGGCGGTATCGCCTGCAACTTTGGCACTAAGCTCAAGTTTGTCCTTGGCGTTGACGATGGTCTTGATGTCTTTGCTGTCCACGCTATTGGTGGTTTCTGCGGCAACATCCTAACCGGTATCTTCGCTGCGTAAGTCATCTCACATAGAAAACTTCCTCATAGAATCATATCTAACATTCGCTCAGCTCGTACATCGCTGCCCTCGACGGCGCCTACACTGGAGAAAACGCGATTGCTGGTGGTTGGATCGAGCACCACTATGTTCAGCTCGGCTACCAACTTGCCGGCTCCGTCGCCGGTTTCGCTTGGTCCTTCACTTTGACCTGCATCATTCTCTTCTTGATGAACCTGGTCCCCGGCCTCAGCCTGCGTGTCAACGCTGACGACGAGGATCTCGGCATCGATGACTGCCAGCTCGGCGAGTTTGCCTACGACTATGTCGAGGTCACCCGCCACGTCTCCGAAATTGTCCCCACCAGCCACGAGGTCGCTACTCCGGGAAGCTCCGCACACAGCTCGCTGCCCGAGAAGACTGTTTAAGACCTCGACGCTGAAGCGCGTAATTACCCAGCATTAAAAAGGTTTTTGCTTGACCGTCAAAGGGTGTCCCGGCGGCTAGAAAAGGGGAGGGCGGTTATCATCTATAATACTCTTGTTCATATCTCTGCTTTGATACCAACTTGGCACTCGCTTGCTAGATTTACTATTAGTCATTCCGTGAACCAATTCACGAGATTATTACCACGACGTTTTTACTGTCCCATGGTAGCAATGTCTGCTTGACCTTTGAATTCCTGGAGCAGGAACCATCAGCACTTTGACCGATTTCCCCGTCAATGACGTCCTAGGGCTCTGGAATCCAAGATGATGGAGCGTGTCACCCCTTTCCACTTGGGGTCGTATTATCCGCCTGTCTGTACATCAGGATCCTGATGTCGTGGCGGAGCTCTGACTATTCACACCTCCATGACTCAACACAATCTCACTGACGGTGATGGCCCCCGTTTGCATTATCCAGAAATATCTCCGTTCATGTGCGCGCAGCTGACGGAGTAGCATTGAGAATGTCCCTTGCTACCTACCATGGTAATCACGTACCCCTCCACTTTCGTGGAGAGAGGTAGCAATGCTCGAATCCTTTGCATCCTTCGCTGCGGCAGTGAGCCAATTGCTGTCCAGGATTCCAAATACTCCGAGACAGTAAGTAGCACAGTCAGCACCCAAAGATAGTTTACCAATAGGCAAGTCAGATCAATTTTCAACCTTTTTAGTGCTGTGGTACGCTGACCTGATCCCGACTACGATCTGACCGATCTCGTCTCCCGCTCCGTGTCCTGCTCCCGAGCTTCCCCTCGGTTCTTCAGCATCTGGAAACTTGTCCCTCACAACCAGTTGCACAAACTCCATCAAGGCAATGAACCCCCATCGACCAACCAAGCCTGCCCCGTGACATACGACGCCTCATCACCCAACAAGAACGCAATTGTCGTCGCCACCTCCTCGGGCTGTCCCACCCTCCCCAGAAGCGGCTCGAAGACATCCGCCCCGGTCTCTGTGGTCTTCGCCGCCAGCGCTGTCCGTAAGATTGGGGTATCGATTGCGCCGCTGCCATATTTGTCAGCCAAATGTTTTCCCCTAATGCTACTCTCCTGAAGGAAATGAATGAGTTTCAAAAGGGGAAAACAGCCAAAAGCAAACTCACGGGCAAATCGCATTCACCCTCAATCCTTTCCTCCCAAACTCCCTCGCCGCGCTCTTGGTCAAGCCGACAACGGCATGCTTACTCGCGGTGTACGCCCCATGATACTCCAACCCGTAGTGGCCCGCCACGCTCGAGACGTTGACAATGCTCTTGCCCTTTCCCTCGTCCGCCAACGCAGGGATCTCAGCCCTCATCGCATTAAGTACCCCCCTCGCGTTGACGCCCATCACAAAATCCCACTCGTCATCCTCAAGCTGCGTGACAGTCGCCAGGTTCCCCTGCCGACCGAGCACGCCGGCGACATTGGCCGCCCCGTCAAGGGGCCCGAGCTTCTCCACCGTTTCGGCGATCCACGCCTCCACCGCTTTGCGATCCCTCACATCCACCACTCTAGAACAGACGTTTTCTGCCCCGTGGAGCTTCACGAGATCCGCCGCGGCTGAGGCGAGGAGGGGTTCGTCGACGTCTGATATCGACACCCGCGCGCCGAGGGATGCGAGGTGTTTCGCTGTCGCCAAGCCGATGCCCGAGGCTGCGCCCGTGATGGCGATGACTTTGCCCTTGAAGTTGCTCATGTTGTCATTCAAACTTTGAAGGGATGTTAGTGTACGTCCACGTCCGCAAGCGGTTAATAATTGTGGCAGATTGGGAATGTAAAACCCCTCAGCGGGCATGCTGAGTAACATGCTTGGGACGTCGGATCGACCCACCTATTAAAGTCTCCGCCGAGCCACTGTACCTTTAAGAACCTTCATACGGGCCCCGACTCACTGCCCGGGCAAAGTGGAGCCGCCCGGGCGTTCAACGCCGGACGTGGCGTGAAGCGGCAGCCCTCCCTCGCGACCCTTCCATATTTGTGAGCCCAGATATTTCATCGCGCAGACACAATCAATGTCACGTTAATTCAAGCCACTGAGGCACCAAAAGAGAGATGACTGACGCCTCAGGGTCACTGGAGTGCATCGACGGGGATGGCCTAGACACGACGACTCACGTTGGCAGGTAGGAGAATTCTTGAGGGGATGCGGGGCTCATTTGAGACATGCTAGTAATTCTATTGCTGTTTCTCGGGTATGCGGCATCTAAACCATCGCCTATTTCTTTTGCATAGGGCCAAGTCCTGAAGTTTATCTTGGTTCATCACTTGGTCTGCCCAACGCGGTAACGTTTGCCCCAGAGAGAACACCAAGAGCCGCGAGGCCAAATTTGAAATGGCGTGCAAGTGTGTCTTCCTGGATTGTCTCCAATGTCTACGTCCAAGATTAGTATTTGTCTGTTTAGAAGACAATAGCGTCGGAGAAACTCACATCTCGACCAGTGTGAATTCTCTTGTTAGCCGTTGCCCGTCGATCAGCAGTTATGAAGGCCGCAGCTGCAAAACTGTGGTCAGTTCAATCCAATCATCAAGAGAATATGGCACTAACGAAACCCGTTGTTGCGAGCGCTTGCATGATCCGAACACGCGTAACCGCAAGAAAAGCTAAGTGTCTCGATGTGGTGTTGCTTCGCAATGCTTCGGAGGACGTGTGTGAGGCGTGGGTCAATATTGTCGCCACCCAGAGTTATCTTTCCAGTGGAGGAAAATCCCAGCATGTCGTGGTTTAGCATGGCAACCACTGACTTATTCCTTTTCTTGTACTCGTGGAAAATCTCTGAAGAGCCAAGCAAGCCGGCCTCTTCTGCAGCATAGAAGTGGAACTCAACTGTGTTGCGAGGCTGCGTCCAAGGCTTCATCCCATTCTGCCTCGTCCTCTCTGCAATGTTCCGAAGAAGTTCGAGCAGCACGACTGTCCCGGAAGCGTTATCGTCGGCTCCTGGGGCACGGGAATTTGGCTCCCCTGCAGTAGAGTCAAAGTGGGCGCCGAAAACGACTCGATGGAATGTCAGCAAGGCCATCTGGGGAATCACAGGCAGGCTAACCAATGTCAGACGTTCTCCCAGGCAACTTGGCAATAACCGAGGGCTGATAGGTGGCGTTGTGTAGGAACTGGGTGACTTCGATCCGCGGGTTGGCTCCTGCGATCTTCTCAATGGTTTCAAAAAGCCATCGAGCGGCTCTTGTGCCGTTGACAGATCGGTGGTCTCTGGTCCAAAACCTACGCTCTAGGTCAGAATTCGACCCAAGATCATGGCGTTTCCTTCCTAAGTACTCAGTCATTATTTTGAGGTGGTGCATCGCGATCTCGGCATTGAACGTTGTCGTGTGCTCAGGGCTGGCCATAAACTGGGCACCAGTGTTCTCGTGGGTCCATTCCATTTGTGGCTGGGCCAAGTAAGTGCTCTGATCGAGATACGTATGGCTCAAGTGGCGTTCAGGGGTAGACAGCATGGCGATAACTTCTTCGTCCTTGGAAAATTTCAGCCAAATCAGCACGATGGATGTTCATCTGTTTAGAGACATGAATGGGATGTAGGAGAGGGTACCTTGATGTTGGTGATATCGATGAAACTGATGCCGTCTTTGATAAGCTTATCTTTGCCCGCGTCGGTGACCCATGATCCAGGATCAGCCGGAGATGTCTTGACAAGTCGGAGGGCAGACTCGGTAGGGGTGAACAGGAGGCGGGAGCCTTGTGGGTGGCCAGATGCAGGGGAGGTTGCTGCGAGGGACGCAAATGCTGTCAGAACCCCAATGTAACGGTTTGGGTTCATTCTGGAGGACTTTTGGGTGTTCGGAGGCGGTCTTGGTATTTTCGATGAAGAGACAGACGGACTGGCACCTGTTCGGAGACGGAGTTGGAAGACGGCCTTCTCGGGCAAGAAAGGATGCCGATGAGGTTTCAAAGAATGCCGTCTGTACCTAGGCAATGTCAAGATGAAGTAGATCTTTTGTTTTCAAAGAAACATAAAGTCAGAGGTTTGAGACGGAACGGATTGATGATGATGATGATGATGATGCTAATGCTTGGGGGAAGACTCGGATGTCGATGAGCAGCGACCTGAGTAAGGACCTTGGGTACTTAAGGTAGGTAGGCAGCTGATGCTACACACAGGGTGGGCTACCTGCTATTTTGACATGGGCTTAGGAAGAAAGAGCAAGAATGAATCCAATCTGATGACAAGGAAAGTGCGACTAACGCTGTCAATGGTTCCAAATCTTCCGTTGCGGGAGGAAGGCGTCAAGTCGTCAGATTTCTTCTCTTACCTCACGGCAGGTAGAAACCTTAGATACGTACCGCCTCCTCGCCCCATCTTGGTCAGTCCTCAGCATCTACTGCATGAAATAAGGTACCTTGCCTGCTTTACTGAAGGTGGGTTAGTTGAGATCATAAATGGGTAACACCATAGCCCCTCGTAGCTTCGCTGTCAGAGTAGCAGAGGGAATCACTCAGGCGACAAGCGTTTCTTGTCTTTATTTAGGTACCAATCAAGATAGATGAATGTTTCTGACGACGACTACAACATCATCATTCAACGAATACCAGGTCCACACTCCCTCGAGGAGCAAGTGTGATCTCGCTGGCCATCCGCAGCTTGGAGCTCACAAACCTTTCAACCGAATCAGGTCCTGTGCCCCTTCTCATCCACCCCGTTTCTTTGGACCTCCTCCTCTCCGAAAGCATGTTTTGTCCAAGTTCAACACTCTCATATCGTTGAAATACACGCACCAAGACGTAAGCCATCTCTGTGAGTGCTAGCTGCTGACCTATGCATATCCGAGGGCCTCCATTGAACGGAATATATGTCCATGGGCGGGGTGTCCATGATTCCCATCGACGCGGGTAGAACTCTTGCAGTGGGAATTCATACAAGTTGAGATCATCTCGCAGCTGCAGAACATGCGTAGAGTAAATAATCTGCGTACCTGCTGTAACTCCTACAGGGCCGTTCCCGTCGGGTCCGCCTCCACGTGGCAAGCTGGTGTCCTTGGAGGCAGCCCTGATGTTGAAAGGCGCGTTTGGATATAGTCGCAGAGTTTCGCTCAATACCTGAGTCACGAAGCTCATACTCTTGAGGTCTTGATAAGTTGGCAGACGTGCATCGACGCCAACACCCACCGCGTTCTCAATCTCACGTCGAAGTTCGGCAAGCACATCGGGGTTCTGTGCGAGCTCGTAGAATGTCCAAGACATTGTTGTTGCAGTTGTGTCGCGGCCGGCAATCAAGATTGATACCATTTCATCACGTAGATACCGAGCGTCCCGGGAGACACCAGCGCATGCGTGAAGAAGGGTCCATCCATGGTCCGTCTTGTCCATCTCGGCCAGCTCAGCCTCGGACATTGAGATTGCCTTCTCAATGCTAGGGTCCAAGAAGCTGTTCAGAGCCTCTAAGTCTCTGCGGAATCCGCGGCGTGGAACGAGGAAGTTTAGGGGACCCAGCCTCTCAATCAAGGACTGGGTGTGGCGGATACGCTCAAATGCCTCAAAAACGTCATCGTCTTGTTTGCTCGAGAGCGAATTAACTTGTCTTCCCAGAGAAAAGTCTGCTGAAACATCGAGGGCGAATCTGCTCAAGACATCTTTCATGTTCACAGGGTGACCACCAGCCAACATCGGGAGCATGGCTTGGATATGACGCTCGAAACAGACGAGATCACTGACCCGTTGGCGGGTGAAGAGGGACCGAAGTCGCTGGCGGGATGTGTGCCAAGCATCCCCATCGATATTGAAGATACTGTTCCCCATAAGCTCGAACCAATCCGTTCTGAAGCGCTGGCCCTTTCCAAAGTCGTTGAATTGAGTTGCGAGCATGGCTCGAATGTTCTCAGGGTCGGCAGTGAAGATCGTGCGCGAACCCATCAAGGAAACCTCAAATGTGTATGGGTTCTGCTTGCCTAGGCCTGATCGAAGAAATGCGTTGTGCATGAACTTGAGGTTTTGATCATTCAAGGCGTGAGTGGTGATAGACCCAAGGAAATGCAAGCCAGACAGCATGCCTGCTTTGATGTTAGTTGCCATAGACGAGATGAATGTGATAATTTGGGATTGCACCAAATGGTGTGTACGACTTGAACTTCGACGCATGACCTCCATGCCGTTTGATGTTTTTCTCCTCTTTGATGTATTTGGCGATACTTCGCACGATAGCGAGCATTACAAGCCCACTGACGAGCCATCCTGTGTATGAGCTGAACAAAACATCTATAGTGTGATTGAGCTGCTCCATGACTGTAAATCGCCGATTTTTGGAATTAGACGTTGGAAGTAGCGATTGATCCAAATTCTGGAATCCCAAATTTGTAGTTTAAAGGAGCAATGCTGAGGAGGGAGTCCGTTGGGGCTCCTGCAACTGTTGATCACATTATCAGGACAAAGTTGGAAGCCAAAGTTGGTCTTCTCCCCGAAGGTTTCGGTGTTGCAAAACCGAGAAGCCCGGTTACTTGCCATGCCGAGTGCTATCATACTGTCGAAACAAGCTACAAAAATATATTTCAAAACCTGTCTCGGGGCGCGGGGCGTTTTGCGAGTCGTCCTTGTAACTGGTGACATGGCTAGGCCAAATCGGTTGTTTCTCTTCGAAGAGGATGGGATGCGTAGAATCGGAAATTTGTAATGGATTTGGCCTTGCGAGAATGAGTCACTTAGCAGAGAAAGTTTGATATATTTGACTTCCGGTCGTGCAGCATACGTGCGGACTGCAGCCGGAACCATCAGGCGACGGAACTCTGGCAGGGCATGGGTCTCCCAAGCTATTGCTCGGAGGGATTGAACCTTGATGCGCCATCTGAGGTGGCTACAGCAACTCATAAGAACGTTGTTTGATAGAAAGACAGAGAGAGGTGTGGAGAGCTGCCAAAACATTGTTTTGAATCCATTCCGAATATCAAACTTGACTATGGCGACAAACGGCTTTGTTGCGCTTTGTTTGATCGGGCTCTATACTCTCTACACGATATTCTGTTTGATTCGAAACATCATAGCTGCGAAGAGTATTGGTTTTCCGGTTGTTTGGAGCCCCATTAGCCCCTTCAATCCATTCTGGATTCTCTTCAACAAACGAGTCGCGCCCATCCTTCAACACCTTCCTTTGAACCTGGGCGATTGGACCAAATACAATGCGTTGGATTGGACATGGGTTGATCGGACTCATGGCAGCTCCCAGGTCCATGATAAGCACGGAGAGACTTTTGCTCACGCTACCCCGGGGGAAATTGAGATTCATACCCGCGATCCTACTGTAGCTATCCAAGTGCTGCGGAAGCAAGCGAACGACTTCCCAAAGATAAGCCACTATGCCAGTAAGTGTCACCTGTCTCCTAGCTCCAAGTCATGTTCCTCCTGGCTAACCAAATCTTCCAGAGATTTTGGACCTGTTAGGTACGAGCCTGGTGTCTTCGGATGGTGATGATTGGACTCGTCACCGGAAGGCGACCGTCGCCACCCTAAGTGACAGAACCAACCGCCTTGTCTGGGCAGAGAGCGTCAGACAGACCCAACAGATGATTCATCATTATCAGCGCATCTCAAACGGGCTGATATCTGATCCTGTAGAAGACATACGCGAGCTTTATCTGCATGTCTTCACCAGCGTTTGCTTTGGGGTTGCCTATGATTTCAAGCAGCCTGAGAGAGATTCCATTCCCATGGGACACTCACAAAGCTACAAGTACTGCCTTCACACTAGTCTCAAGGATATTCTCATTCTTCGGCTTGTACCAAGTTGGGCCATGAAGCTTCCCGCCCTCCCGCAGAGGATCAAGAACTTTCGCGATGCCACAATTGAGATGCGGCAGTATCTCGACGAAATGATCAACAACTGCAAGGAAAATTTCAGAGGCAGCAAGAAAAAGACTCAGAATGATAATTTGCTCAGCTTCATGGTGAAGAGAAATAGGGATTTGGAGCTTGAACCTCACTTGGGCGGGTCCAAAGATGACGGGTCACGGGCTCTGCTGACAGAATCTGAGATTCGGGGAAATCTCTTCACCTACTCACTCGGAGGACACGAGTCATCCGCACATACCTTGACCTTTGCAATCTATGTTTTGGCAGCCCTTCCTGAAGAACAAGTCTGGCTGGCGGAGGAGATCGACGAGATTCTCGGCGAAAGACGAGATTGGCGATCGAAAGAGTCTTTTATGGACATTTTCCCACGTCTGAAACGGTGTCAAGCTGTCATGGTGGGCACAAGATTTCTTCTGAACGAGAAACTCAATTAATTTGACCCTATTGTAGCTCGAAATACTTCGACTGTACCCATCGGTGACAGTTCTTCCAAAGTTCACCGGATCGAGAGCAACAACTCTTTTTGTTGGAAGCGAAGATCATCGCATTCCAGCAAACATCAACATCTTCGTCAACATGCCTAGCATTCAAGTCCACGAACCAATTTGGGGACCGGACGCAGACTCTTGGAAGCCTGGTCGTTGGATAATCACAAACAATGAAATCAAAGGGCTAGATGGAGAACAGATTAAAGTACCCCCTGACGGCGCCTTCCTCCCTTGGAGCGAGGGCAAGCGCGCTTGCCCAGGCAAGAGATTCTCTCAGGTGGGCTTTGTTGCAGCACTTTCGACTCTTCTGTACAAGCACAGACTGGAAGTCATTCCTAATGAGGGAGAAAGCATGGAAAATGCGAGGAAGAGGGTCATGGGAGTTATTGATGACACTTACGCTGTCATGACGGTTCACATGCACGACCCTCTTTCTGTCAAAATTAAGATTGCTGGGAGAAGTTGATAAATGCGCCTTTGAAATTAAACTTCATAATTGAAAACCACATTACATGTTTCCGGTGATCTACAAAACCCTGCTTCTCTCCTCGTGACTCTGGTTGCCTAGAAAGTGAAGCTTGCATGTAGAAAATCGCTCCCATAGCTATATGCAATACGCCAATTTACCCAGGTGAGATTTCTAAAAGGTTGGGACCTCGCTACTTGACTCATTGAATCCATTCAATTTGACCTTACAACAATGGGCAAGTCATGGTTTCCAATTCAAGCTTTGGGTGCCTTTGCCTCAAAGAGAAGCGTCGTTCCAATCACCCGCCACTCTACAGACTTAAATGCGGCCTCCAATGGCCTAATAATGTCGACCGCGTGGTCATCGTTATTATGGAAAACACCCAGGAGGTTGTGCCAAAACATGAGGAGCCTACCAAAGGCGTTGTGCCTCACTCCACCACCTAACACCGTTGCGCCGACGAGAACACCGTCTGGATTCAACAGCCGACCTAGACCGGCCATAGCCTCTCCTTTCCGCTTGGCACTGCCGGGTAGGCAGTGCAATAGTAGCATACAAGAGGTGACGTCGAATCTGTTGGTGCCACTCATTTGCAGAGATAAAGGCAGCTGCGAGGTGGTGACATCGCCGAGCACGAATACGTCAGCTCGAGCTGTTTCAACAATGACGTCGGAATGTGCCAGTTGAATACGTCGTTTAGCCTCGGCCAGAGGGTTCTTATTGATATCGGCCAAAACAACTGCCGACCCTGCAGGTAGAGGGGCACTCTGAATAAAGTAGCCAGTGCCGACGCCGATATCCAACAGTCGTGCCTTAGGTTTGATAAGAGCGGAGACGTGCTTGCTGTAGTGACCCTGGAGCACATCTTTGGGACATCCCCAGGCGAACTGGCAGTAAAAGCCGAGGACAAGGGTGTCATAGAGCCATCGCAGGAATAGTGGGAAATAAACCGCGTTGCCAAGTGTGCTTGCAGACATGATATGAGAACCTGAACAGAACGTGAGGAGTTACAATTTGGCAATGTCGTGAAGAGCTTGAGTCGGTTTTGTGAAGTTGACAGTGCCTAGGAGCACCCACCTTGATATGAAACCTAGCATGTAGATACTTCGTAGGAACAGTTGCCCTGATACATGGCAGAATAAGGTTCGGGTTGCGGTAGTTTAGCTTGAACACTGCTTCTAAACCCCGCGCTGCGGAAGTAAACTTCTGTCACAGCGGTTAAGCGGGAACCATTCCGATAACACTGATTAGAAGGAATTGAATTCAGAAATGCCAAGGCCGAAAGCATACCACCTGACGGAACACCGGGCCGAACTGAACCAAACCAGGCCTCAGTCAGTAGTCACAGCAGCTGTCAGACTCTCTTGTATACTTTAGTCAAGGACTGTTCAACGTCGGGTGTTTATGCCATATAAACTTCCACTTGCATCTCACGTAAGTTGCTGCAAAGGCCTAGTAAGGCAATTTCGGCGTAGTCCAAACCTTCAAGTTGCCAATCGTAGTTCACATTCATAATCGAGCCCGAGCACCTGCAGCTTTGGACCCATCCGAATACCACTTTTTCCGTTGTCGGAATTTGGATAAGGTTGGGAAGGTAGCCGCTTAAGTTCCGACCAAATTTCTCCCTCTTTCTTCTAAGTTGGGCTTTTCTAGCCAAGCCTTAATGTCGCCTAGACTACGGGAAAGTCGCCGCCGGATTCCTATGTGCGTCCAGTCTGCTGTCCCCTTGAACCGCCTGTTCGGTGCTTCAGCGATTGACAGCTGAGTTCTGATGGAGTTGTTTGACCTTTCGATCGCATGAAACTTTATGTAGTGGGTTTAGAGTCCATCTCCATCTCCAAGACTTAGTCACCTTGATCCCTGGAAGTTCAAATTTGAGCATCTTCAGCCGGGCTCTCCTCAGTCAGGGTGACCCTCTTTGATGCATCACATTGATATCAGTATCGCAATATCAATTCGAAGTTGGATTGGCTCTTTTCGGTGGAAAGCCAAGTGTACGAAACCCTCGAGACTTGAACAGCCTCAATCCGAATCCGTTTCTAGTAACCGATGGAGTTTTCTTTATTCCGCAAAATGTGACGTTGCCAACCTTGTGTTTCTTTCCGATTTGAAAGATGCCATTATCTCTTTTCCGCACCCATTGAACTGTGGTGGTTCTATAAGACTTCATCAAGGGCTGCATTGTAGATAAAGTGAGATGCAACAACATTCTTTTCATCTACAGCTACGAAATTATCAGAAATTCATTGTCCTTTCACTCAAAATCAGACATCATTCCAAATCCAACAATATCAAAGTCAAAGTGTCAACATGGCCAACGTCAAGGACCAGATCCAACCCATCGCCATCGTTGGCTTGAATCTCAAGTTCCCTGGAGATGCAACCTCGGTGGAATCCTTCTGGGAGATACTCGAGAAAGCAAGGAACGCCTCAAGTAAAGTTCCTTCATCTCGCTTCAATGTCGACGCGTTTTACCACCCAGATCCTTCACGTCTCGATAGCGTGAGTTCTCTTCCCCCGCGACGGCGTTAAGTCCAGGATGAAATCTCACAGATAGGGAAAACAAGATGCGTGTACAGAAGGCACATTTCATGAAAGAGGATCCTCGGGCTTTTGATGCCGCTTTTTTCAATATGTCGCCAGCAGAGGCATCCATCCTGGACCCTCAACAGCGTGGACTCCTCGAAGGCACATATCACACCTTTGAGAACGGTATGAGAATACGTGCTTCCCTCCGCAAGAAGAGTCACTAATCGAGGTTGTTGAAATTGCGTAGCTGGCTTGGCTATAGAGAGGGTCGCTGGTTCTCAGACTTCCGTCTTCTGCGCGTCCTTTGGCCGTGACAGTGATGCAATAGTGGCCCGAGATCCAGAATTTCAGTCCCGGTATCAAGCAACTTCGTCCGGGTCATCAATGTTGTCGAACCGCATCAGTCATTTCTTCGACCTTCGTGGTCCTTCTTTGACGATTGATACAGCATGTTCCAGCGGACTATACGCCATTCACCTAGCATGTCAAAGCATACTCAATGGAGAATCCGAAATGAGTCTAGTTTGTGGCTCCAACACTTACCTCACCCCCGAGTGCATGAGTTTCCCTCTGAGCAACGCCGGCTTCCTATCACCTGATGGTCGGTCTTACAGCTTTGACCGGAAAGCCAACGGGTACGCACGCGGAGAGGGATACGCTTTCGTTCTTCTGAAGCCATTGGCGAAAGCCCTAGAGGACGGAGACACGATTCGCTCTGTGATTCGTGCAACGGGTGCAAACCAAGACGGACGGACGCCAAGTATTACTCAGCCAAGTGCCGCCGCTCAAGTAGAGCTCATTCGAAGAACTTACGAGGCTGGAGGACTGGATCTTTCCGAAACTGAATACGTGGAAGCGCACGGGACCGGCACACCCGTGGGTGACCCGATCGAGGTTTCCGCGATCGGAGAGGTTTTCAGATCTCATAGGTCCAGTCCGCTGTGGATCGGATCTGTGAAGAGCAACATTGGCCATCTCGAGGGCGCCAGTGGCCTGGCAGGCTTACTCAAAACAGTCCTCTCACTGGAGAAGGCAATTATTCCCCCCATTGCCGACTTTGAAGCGGTAAACCCAGCAATCGACGTCCATGCGCTGGGCGTGCAGTTCCCAACGTGCCCTACCCCTTGGCCTGTGACTACTTCAGGAATTCGCCGGGCGTCCGTAAGCTCGTTTGGATATGGAGGATCCAACGCTCATGCTGTCCTGGACGACGCATATAACTATCTTCGGATCCGCGGCCTTGCTGGAAATCACTTATCGGTGGCCAAGCAGAATCCTTCAAATACGGGGCTCGTCACAAACAGCAGCACTGCAAGCGGAACAGTCGACAATAGCCTTATAGATGGCAATACCCCTGATGCCTTTTCTGACGTTTCCGACGATAGTGGTGTCATAGTTGGCTACGAAGGCGAGACTGAATATGGTTCATTCTCACTTCTCACGTTCTCAGCCGCCGATGAGGATGGTCCACGAAGACAGGTCTCGGCGTTACAAGATTATGTCGCTGCCCAGCCTCAGAAATCACGCAAGGCTGCAGAGAAAGTCTTCCTTGCCGATCTAGCTTACACTCTTTCTCAAAAAAGTCTGTTCAACTGGCGAGCATTTGCTGTCGTCAATTCGGAAGCGGACGTCAGAGGCGGTCTCACAGACATCCTTTCACCTGTTACCTCGGTTTTGTCATCGAAGAGGCCAGAGCTTAATTTCGTTTTCACCGGCCAAGGAGCTCAGTATCCGCGTATGGGTGTTAATCTCATACGCCACGAAGTATTCCGGCAAAGCCTGTTGGATTGCGACGAATACCTTCGGTCCCTTGGTTGCGAGTGGTCCGTCTTGACCGAGCTTCGAAAGGCGTCGGGGTCTTCCAGGGTTCAAAGACCGGAAATCTCGCAGCCCCTTTGCACCGCTCTCCAGATTGCCATTGTTGACCTCCTCCGAACTTGGAACATTGTCCCACAATCCGTTTGCGGTCACTCATCGGGCGAAATCGCGGCAGCATACTGCGCTGGAGCCCTTGATCGTCGTTCTGGTTGGAAAATTGCATACTTTCGAGGCGTACTAGCCAGTCGATTGGTATCAAATTGTTCTCAAAGCCAGACTACAATGATGTCTGTCGGCCTGGGTGAGGTTGCCGTTCGCCCCTACCTTTCGAACGGGATCTCAGTAGCTTGTATCAACAGCCCAGTCAACGTGACACTTTCAGGGCCGATCAAGGGGATACAGCTCCTCCAGGAGAGACTTGAGAAGGAAGAGGTGTTTTTCAAAAGAATTCCTGTTAACATTGGATATCACTCCCCAGCTATGGAAGCTGTCGCAGCCGAGTATCGAGGTCGGATTCGCGATATTGGTCCACCTATCACTACAGCCGATTACTGGGTCCATAAAGAGTCGCCAGTGACTCTTTACTCATCGACTGAGGGAGATCTCACATCTTTCGAAGCGGTGACGGACCCTGCGTATTGGGTGAAGAATCTCATTTCGCCTGTCCTCTTTTCGACTGCTCTCGAGGCCATGACTGGGTCAAAACAAGGAAGGCAACATTTCCTCCTCGAAATCGGTCCTCAGTCCGCTCTCCGGCGACCAGTCCAAGACACTTTGACGCCTCATCTCGGCGACAAAGCTGCTAAGAGATGGCAGTACACCAGCATCTTGAATCCTGACCTCGATGACGGCCGGTCGGTGATGGAGGCACTTGGCACTCTCTGGGCAGCTGGCATCCCAATTTCTTTGACTAAGCCGAACCAAAATTCCACTCAAGTTAACCGGAGACCCAAAATCCTGGTAGATCTTCCCTTGTATCCCTTCAACCGGTCTCGGGAGTTTTGGGAGGAAAGCAGACTGAGTCGCAACTATGCGAAGCGCCTGTACCGGCGGCATGCTCTTCTTGGCATCAGAGACCGTGACTGGAACGCTGAGGAGGGAAGCTGGAGGCACTTGATCCGGTCCCAAGAGAATCCCTGGATCCTGGACCACGCTCTGAATGGTTCACCACTCTACCCGGGCTCCGGCATGCTTGTCATGGCCATCGAGGCAGCTCGCCAGCTTGCCGCTCCAGTTGAACCCCGTATCCGAGGTTATCAGCTAGAAAACATACGCTTTCTTCGAGCCATCGATGTCGATGACTCGGAGCGCGGCACGGAGGCAAAGATTGTTATGAGGCGCCGTCGACAGGCTACGAATACCAGCGGCCAACAGCTATGTTACGACTGGCGGGTCTTTGGCACCAATGGCGATGACTGGAGCGAGTGCGCGTATGGCAGTATCAAAGTCGAACTCGAGCCGGAACAAATGTTGGAACCCGAGCAGGTCGCTGCTTCCGAAGCTCGTCGAGCCCGCTTTGCTTTGTCTATCACAAAGCAACTTCAGGCAGACGTTGACAAATGCCGCTTGGTTGTACATCACAGCCAACTATACAAGAACATGTCCAAGCGATCAGGCTTTGACTATGGGCCGTATTTCCAATTGCTGAGAGACATTTCCTATGACAGGGAGGGCCATGCTACAGCCACGCTGGCGTCGAGAGATTACGCCTCGACAATGGCATACGCTGGAGAAGATCCGTGCGTGGTTCATCCGAGCACATTGGACGCAGTCTGTCACCTTCAGATGGTTGCACTATCACAGGGTGGCTGGAACGCTGTCCCTACGATGATGTTCTCCCATCTACGAAAGTTGTGGGTGTCCCAAAAGCTCTTTGAGGCGCCAGGGAATCCCCAGCTGCGGGCTGCAACTCAAGAGACTATGCGAGCTTTCAGAGAAGCTGAGTGTAGGACACTGGTCACATTCGCTAACACCAATGAGCCCGTGCTCGTCCTAGAAGGCCAGCGCGGCACCGCCATCACAAGTCTCAAGTCAGCCGATGCTACTACCTCTCAAGGGGACTCTGGTCAAAAGTTCTACGGTCTCGACTACAAGCCCGACTTGTCTCTTCTAACGGAAGAGGAAAAAACTCGATACTTTGCGTCTGCTTTCCAGGAGGACCCACGATCCCGTGCCCCTCCGAAAGAGCTCATCGACCGTGCCGATGCCATTGCTCTGCACTTCATTGAGGCAGCTCTAGAGCAAATAGACAAGGAAGATAAACCGATTCAGTTTGATAATCACCTGAACCGATATGTGGCATGGATGCGACGCGTGCACCAGGCCCGGAACAAGTGGACGTTGGAGTCGCGTGGCTTGAGTCACTTGAATATCCAAGAGATCTTGCTCGAAGCCGATGGCGAGCCTACCCAGAAACTCACAAAGAAAGTTGGCGAATCTCTACACGACATTCTCAAGGGAGAAGCGAATGCTCTCCAGGTCATATTCGAGGGCAATCTTGCCAACGAGTTTTACCATTCTGAAGTCTTTGCAACCAACAACAGCAAGATGGGAGCTTATATGAGCGTCTTGGCTCATGCAAACCCGAAACTTCGTGTGTTAGAAGTCGGCGCCGGAACTGGTAGCTCGACCGGTCGAATTCTTCCTTACCTGACTACTCAAGGAGTAGAGGGTGGCCCTCCAGAGGCTGTGCGCTTTGGCGAATACTGCTACACGGACATCTCGGCTGGGTTCTTCGAAAAGGCGCGAGACCGCTTCTCCTACGCGGCAAGCCACATGACGTTCAAGAAGCTGGACCTTGAGAAACATCCCGAAACCCAAGGGTTCGCTGATGGAACTTACGACGTTATAGTCGCAGGTAATGTGTTGCATGCCACAAGCGACTTGCTTCAGACACTTCGATACGTCAGAGGCCTCCTACGTCCTGGTGGTGTGCTTGTCCTGGGGGAGACTGTGAATCTGGACAATGTCCGAGATGGTCTCATCTTTGGCCTCTTGCCTGGCTGGTGGCTGCGCGAGGGGCAATGGTGGTCTACAAACAAGGAGTACCAAGACCAGGGTCCTCTTCTAACAGAGGAACAATGGAACATGGTTCTCTGCGAGGCTGGTTTTCCGGGCATCCAAATGGCTTTCCGCGACCATGAACAGAAGCCGCATCACAGAGTATCCGTCATCATAACTACGCGGCCAGAGAATGAAAGCATTCCAGGCCAGTCGGTCAGACTCCAGTCTACATACCGCATCGTCGTGGATCCTGCATCTACGATCCAGACTTCCGCAGCTGAGTCTCTCCGGAGCCGTCTTATCAAAGAAGCCCAGCCTACTAGGGCGGAGATCTCCAGCATGGCGAGCATGGCGTCAGGAAATACCAAGCTGACAGGGGATGAGATAGCAATCAGCTTGTTGGAGTTGGATGGCCCGGTACTGCCGACCGTTGCCGCAAACGACTTCGCAACAATCAAGAAGATATGCCTTGACACCAGGTTTACGTTGTGGTTAACGTACGGTGGAGCACCCAAGGCCACCAACCCAGCAGCTGAGATTGCCGTCGGACTGGGCAGGAGTGTCTGTTCAGAGAGAGGAGATCAAGGCTTCATTACTTTGAGCTTGTCCTCTCGCCCTGAAAATCACAACGCTATTACAAGTGCCGTAGACACAATCATGCGTGTTGTGAGAAGACTACGCAATATCTCCTGCCCTGGGATCGAAAACGAGTCAGAGTTCTCAGAAAGCAATGGGTTGATTTGCATCCCTCGCCTCATGCCAACTCCTCACATCGAACAAGCCCTTTCCGCAAAGCAGGCTGGCGACAGGCTGAAGTCATTCACTTTCAATGGAAATACTCCCAAGCCACACATCAGTATCACCATTGAAACCCCTGGACTCCTTGACACCATCTTCTACGCTGAGGATAGCGGCGGCGATGAGGAGCTCCAAGCGGGGGACATCGAGATAGAAGTCGAGGCAACTAGCATGAACTTCAAGGATGTCATGATCGCTCTCGGCCAGATTCCTGGACGAAGTTTCGGATTCGACGGCGCCGGTGTCGTCTCTCGAGTTGCACCGGGAAGCCAACTTCGTCCAGGTGACGCCGTACTTTTCTGCAGCTCGAACGGAGGTGGCTTCGGAACATATGTGCGCTGCCCCGAGCTGCAAACAGAGAAGATACCTTTGGGCATGTCTTTCCAAGTGGCCGCAGCTATTCCGGCGGTGTGGTCCACGGTGGTATATTCTCTCGACCATATAGCACGTCTCAGCGAAGGCGAAACCGTTCTCATCCACGCAGCCGCTGGAGGCGTGGGTCAGGCCGCCGTGCAGCTCGCTCAGCTGCGAGGTGCCAAAATCTTCGTTACCGTGGGAAGCCAGACAAAGCGTGAGCTTGTCAAGCAGCTGTTTGGTATTTCGGACGACCAAATCTTCAACAGCCGCGATGACACCTTTGCAGAAGATGTGCTTCATGCCACTGGTGGTCGCGGCTTGGACGTTGTGCTCAACTCCTTGGGCGGCGAGCTTCTTCGCCAGTCCTGGGAATGTATCGCACCCTTTGGCCGCTTCATCGACATTGGCAAAGCGGACATCATTGCCAACAACACACTGCCAATGGGCCCCTTTAATCGAAACGTGACTTTTTCTGCTGTTGATCTAGTAGTGGTCCACGAGGAGGCGAAGCCCTTGATGAAGAAAATCCTGCAGGATGTCACACGGTTGTTCGAGCAAAACCCCCACTTACACGAACCCAAACCGCTTCACATCTTCTCACCGTCAAAGCTTGAGGATGCAATGCGTTTCTTGCAGGGTGGTAAAAATACCGGCAAAGTCATCATTGACTACGCTTCTTCGAGCGATACGGTTGAGTACCGTCCGTCGCAACGTCAGCACAGATACGACTTCCAGGCGGATGCCACGTACGTTATTAGCGGAGGCTTGGGTGGCCTCGGTCGCGAAATCGCTCGGTGGATGGTCTCTCGAGGAGCCCGGAACTTGCTTCTCCTCTCCTCGCGCGGTGTTGCAGGACGACCAGATGCCCTCAAGTTCATTCGGGAGCTCGAGACTATTGCCGGGGTTACAGTCCTCGCACCGGCCTGTGACATTGTTGACCGAGGAGCAGTCGAGGAGACGCTGCTGCGGGCATCAAGAGAGCTTCCACCAATCAAGGGCTGCATACAGGCTGCCATGGTTCTCCGCGACGATATGCTTGCCAAGATGTCTTGTGCGATGTTCCACGAAACTCTCAATCCGAAGCGCGCCGGATCATGGAATCTGCATCAACTCTTGCCAAACAACATGGACTTCTTTGTCTTGCTCTCCTCCTTCTGTGGCATCATGGGAAACCGCGGACAGAGCAACTACGCAGCAGGAAACACTTTTGAAGATGCTCTCGCACGGCATCGTGTAGCGCAGGGTCTGAAGGGCGTCTCCGTTGACCTGATGCTAGTCGCCGATGCGGGATGGGCTAATGTCAACTACGAATCCGTGACGCAGAGCCTCCGTGCCGGTAATTCCAACCTCACACAAGCACAATTGATGGAGTTGCTTGATATGCTCTGCGATCCGAGCTACGACTGCGCAAAGCCCGGAGCAGCCCAGGTCGTCAACATGGTGGACAGCGCGGCGGACCTGGCACGCATGACACAACAGGGGCTCTTGGATTGGATGCATAAGCCCATGTTCAGCAATTTCCTTCGCATGGGCGAGACAGAGGATAGTGGCAACAGCCATGGATCCGGCGGAGGCAAGTGTGATGGAAACGACGACGTCAATTGCCTCGCTCTCGTAAAGGCAGCGGCTGACTTGCCCACTGCCAGCGAGATCGTGACTCAAGGCCTCGTTCAAAAGCTGGCCAAGTCGCTTTCTGTACCAATTGAGACGCTCGATGCGGGGAAGCCAGCTTACGTTGTCGGCGTGGATTCCCTTATTGCAGTTGAAGTGCGGTATTGGTTCATGAAGCAGCTCCTTGTCGAGGTGCCAGTATTTGAAATTTTGAAGAACCAAAGTATCACGGATTTATGTCAACAGGTAGCCTCGAAGATCCTGCAAAGCAATTCTAAGTAGACTCGCGTGTTTTCAGATACCTAGATGAGAAAGCAAACAATCTATGCCGACTCAATTACAAACTTGTAGCTTCTTCGTTGATGTCAATTGAAGAACAGTTCCCAATCACCTTTCTCATTGAATATGTAAAGTATTACCCCCTATTTCTTCAGTTTAACGCTGGCTTCTCATGGTCAACCTGATGGTTGCCAAAGGTTCCTCCCAGTGATACGGCCAAATCCTCCCCATTCTCATTGAGGATTGGTCAAAGATGGTAAAGTAAGACGGACGGCGACGGCCTGCCTAATCGGGTACATGATCCTGCTATGCCGCCGCGGGGGATGATAAGCCGCCTCATAAAAGCAGGGCTTGACTTCATGCCATGATCATCTCACTTGGCGCCAACCGAGTGGAACTCAGCTTCAATTACAACTGAAAACTAGTTATCTTAGCCAACATGACTCGGCGCCTCATCGAACGACCAGCGCAAATCTACTCCTCTTCTCTGGGCGGCTCCTTCAGACCAACTTACACCGACACCGAATCGCCCATCAGTCCCTCGAAAAAGACATCCCTCACCATCATCACAACCTCCCTCCTCATCCCCGGCGACGGCGAACCCATCAAAGATGCCGCCCTCGTCATATCCTCAAAGCTCATCGCCTGGGTCGGCCCACAGTCGTCCATCCCCCAGGAGTACACAGACTCCCATCACAAGTCCCACTCCATCCCTTACCTGATGCCCGGTCTCTGGGACTGTCATGCTCACTTTGGCGGAGAATCTCTCGATGCAGGATCAAACGGCGACCCGTACCAGGTCTTCATCACCGAGCACCCCGCCGCGTCCGGCGCCCGACTCACACGCATGTGCTGGCTGGCTCTGCAGAGAGGATACACATCCCTCCGCGACGTGGCGGGCATGGGCTGCGAAATCTCCCGCGCCATCGAGGACGGCATGATCGTGGGGCCCAATGTCTACAGCTCCGGCGCGGGTATCAGCCAGCTGGCTGGCCACGGCGACGTCTTCTCCCTTCCGGCCGGAGACGTGTTGCTCAACCTCGGCGTGTCGCAAGTCACTGCGGGCCATTTCGGCACTGCGACGAGCATGATTGCGGACGGTGTCGATGAGTGCCGCCGCGCAGTACGTTTGCAGATTCGGCGAGGGGCAAAGTGCATCAAGGTCATGGCTTCTGGCGGCGTCATGTCCCGCGATGATAACCCGCTCTACGCGCAGTTCAGCGCTTCGGAACTCGAGACCATCGTGGAGGAGGCAAACAGGCAGAATCGCGTGGTCGCGGCGCATGTCCATGGCAAGCCTGGCATTATGGCCGCCATCAAGGCCGGCGTTACAACGTTGGAGCACGTCTCCTTTGCGGACCGCGAGTGTATCGACTTGATGAAGGAGAAGGGCATTATCTACATTGCCACGCGTCTAGTCATGGACTTGCTCCTCGGCACCGGGGGGAAGGGGATACCTCCCACGGCGTGGGAAAAGGTTAAGTTGTGTGCCACAAGCCACATGGTGGCGTACAAGATGGCGATAGAAGCCGGTATCCCGATTGCCCTGGGTACAGATACCGGGCCCGGGTTCAATATGGCGATGGAACTGGAGGCGGCCGTGAAAGCTGGGATGAGCAACTTGGAGGCTATCAAGGCAGCGACAGCCAACGGGCCGCTCAGCGTGGGTGGGCAGGCGCCCAAGACGGGGCAGCTGAAGGCTGGCTACGAGGCAGATGTCCTTGGTCTGTTAGAGAATCCGGTAGAAGATGTCAGGGTGCTGCAAAAGATTGAGAATGTCGCATGGGTCTGGAAGGGAGGTTCTCTCTTCAAGGGGCCTGGTGTTGGGCCATGGGGCGAAGATCCTAGTCCCTTTGACGAGTGGTCTGCGGCCACATACATCCGTTCGTAATGCCTTGATAACATGCTCTCTGCCTGTCTCTTGAATTCCGTTCTTATTCGCTATGTTGAGGCTGGGGGTTTTTCCATGTTGAGTGCAAATGTGTTTTATGACTGCTTCAAGGTCTCGTCACAAAGATGCGATGCTCTTTATCTACAGCATCATCGGTCGCTTCATGGATACCTTTACTCAGACATCAGGGGAAAAGAACCCAAAGCTTCTTTAATATGATGTGGGCTTTGTTAAATTGTGATATGGCATTCGATTCTTTTAGCCTGAAATATAGGCGGCTTTCAGGCCGAACATGAAGCTCTGGAGGCCACGGATATTGACGTTGGGGCATTCAAGCTTTTGACACAAAGATACATGTAAAGATGTAGACGGCTTCGCTTCCTCATCTATCTGGTGCAAGAACTCTTTTCCAAGCTCTGGACTAATGCAACAATTCGCGAATACGAGAACTATATTTTTACTCCCAACGATCCCTTCTGCGCTTAATCTGGACAGCAGCAATCTTCTTCATAACCTCGAGTCTGCCGAAGATTCCTCCCTCTCGCCCACAAATCATACACCTGGAACCTAAAGCGGCAGTCATGTCATCGCAGCCAGAGGACACCCAAGGGTGTCTCGACATCTACCCTGCAAGTTACTTCATCCCCGTGCGCCACGGCAGCAAGCGCCCGGTTAAAGTGGCAGGCTACACGCTCAGAGCGCTCGCCGAAACCTGCCGTAGCGAAGAGAGGTATCACGCTGCCCGCGAGGCTGCGGTGAGCATCATCCACGTCCTGGAGGAGGAGATTGAGATGCTCAGAGTCGTCGGGTCTACGATGATAGCAGAACAGAGGTACCTCGACGGCTGGGAGGATTCCTTGATTACGGTCATCGGCGTGCTCAACCATTGCATCGTCAGACCGACAACCAAGTCCTCCCCAAGACCTCATCCCGAGGCAGCACAACAGCTTGAAACATGTTCCCCTGACCCCGTGATGAAGACATGGGAAGAGCCGTGCTCCCTCCATCCGCCTCTGCATCTGGAAATCGAGGAAGAAGTGCCCGCTGATTTCAAAGGCAAGGCGCCCATAAGATTCGAGGATATGGATGTCCCTAGTCTTTCACCTCCCCGTTGGCAATCCCTCAATCAGAGAGACAGGGTGCCCGATCTTTGGCACGACGCGATCGCCATCTACGAGACAGAATTCCCCAAGAGCACCTCCTCTGAGAGCACCTCCATTGAAACCGCCAGCTCAGCCGTCAGCACCCCCTTAACCACCGGCATTGAATCCTCGGCACGCAATCTCCTTACCTTCACATCTCCATTGCCGCCCTTCCCCTCCAGCCAGGCCACCGAGAGTTTCGCCCTCATCGAGGAAGAACAGACTCCCAGCACCTCGGAAATCATCCGCGGCATCGACACCATCCAGCTCCTGCTCCACTATGAACGGCAATCCCGCATCTCGGAGCGCAAGATCGCGGCGGAGCTGACAAAGGCGAGCGTCCTCCGCCAGGCCATCTTTCAGGACCGTTTCCTGGGCCAGGTGCCCAAGTTCGGGGGCGTAGACAGCAACGACGTGGAGGATACTGCGGATGACATGAACAACCCGACCTTCGGTGAGACGGTGTATGAGCGGGCCAGGAGGCAGGTGACGGCGCTCTTCAGGCGCTGGAGCGGGACGAGTTGGCAGAGCGATACGCAGGAGGCAGGTTCCGACGTTGACGTCGTCGCGGAGGACGCAAGTACGCAAACCGTTGGAGAGCGTGAGGGCTCGGTTGGCGAGGGACTGGTGGACGATGACGACGATCTCGGGTTGTTTAAAAGATGCGGTGATCTTGACGTTTTGCCACCAGACACGTGGCACCCATGTTATCAGCCAGAAAACCTACTCTACCAGCCTCTGTCCTTGTCATCGCCAGACTCTGCGCCAGACTCTGGAGGCTCTGAGAACACGTTTAACCCAGCTACGTACTCGCCATCTTGGCTGCAGCCTGATCAGGCGAATCTCACCTCGATATCACAGAAACTGAGCTACCACGTCGCAAATGACCTTTGTGGCGTGGGGTTTGCAGACGCCCTATCGGAGTCGCGCCCCTTCGAGGACGACCCTGGAGACGCCAGCCATGGGGTACGACTCGCGGCCCCGCGAGCTAATGCGAATGGTTATCAGGGGAGGTCGGCCGAGTTACCCTATCCGCTGAGTCCGCAGGGCCCTTCACATATGACCGCACCTTGGGGCCCAGTATGCCGCAAGGGCCGAATGGAAAGGTGAAATGGATTTCAGACAACGTCATGTTATTTTTTGGGGTATCAAGTTGGTATGTATTTGGGCTAGGTTCGTGTGCGAAAGCTTCGTCTCTAGACTCGGGGTTGGTTAGCTGGAGTATTCTTAGAAAGTGCAATCGACGGTTTGACTTACGAAGCATGGCCATGACTGCTCCCTCTGAACCTGTGCTCCCTACTGCCCGTGCCCCTCAAAATCTTGCCGGGCTTCTCCCTCATCAAACTCGCCTCCTTATGTTCAACCAACGCCTATTCAATCTTCTCCGTCTCCATGTCGCCTTCCTCAGGTTTGTCCTCGGTAGCCTCTTCGACATCTGTGAAATAACGTGATTAGTCTGAGTTCTTGTAGCTAACTCAATCTCCCTCCCACCAGACACGAGGTCTTCACAAAGTCTTCCTCCTCAAGACACAATGACAGCACTCACCCTTCATGACAACTTCCCCCTCAGCCTCCATCTTCCTCCTCAGAGCATTGGCAATTTTCTTCTCCATCTTCTTGGCCTTCTTCTTGCTCATGGGAGCGTTGGGACCGCTGGTGGGCATCAGGCCGGGCCTTGCGCCGCGCATGGTGTCCGTCTTTGCAATCTTGTTCCGGTTCGCCTCAGACTTCTTGCGGCGGGCCATCTTGGAGCCTAGGGCCCGATTGGCCAGGCGGTTCTTGGAGGGACCGTTTGGGTTCTTTACGGACGGCATGGTGGCGGTGGTTTCGGTGTTGTCGAGGGTGTAAAGTCGTTCGACGGGGGGGAAGATAAGTAATTGTCGAGGATGGCAAAATGGCGGCTGCGGATGAAATGCGATTGAGCGCCTGTCTGTCTCTCTGGGATTTTTTTTAGTGGAGCACAGGCGGGATGCGCCTCAGCTCGGGGTCCAGGTTCGCCCCGCTTGCCCCTCGCCGACCCCACACTGCTCACCGAGGATCGGTGTAAACCAAGGTGAGGCAAGATTTGGCGATGACGGTACGTAGCAATATGCCTCCCGGTCTCTTGGAGACGTCATGGAACACCTTATGATGCCTAAAAATGGTTTGCTCACATTACCATACTTCGTCTATCTGACAGAATCTAGCTCCTCAGTGAATTGATGTCGTGATAGATCCGCATAAATGAAGGCTAAAATGTAAACCCCTGCAAATCGAGATTCTTGTCCCATTGAGACGCTTTCCTGCCCGCAAAATGTGCGGCAACCCGGATCCAAACGCCGAACCTTAAATGCGATATGCCCTCCCTGTCTATTCAATCAACTCCCATTAGTCCTTTCTTTTACACTCCCTCACCGCGCCACTCGGTCACTATTTTTGCCGATGGTGCTAGGACTGCTGGGGCTTCCAATGTCGTCCGCTTCGTCCTTCAGAACCTTACGGGCCTCATCGTCTTCGTCATCGCTCATGAGGCCCTCGAGCTCGAATTCCTCGGCATCGCGCACTTGACGGGATTCGCCGGGGCGACCGTTGGCTGCGGGTACGCCGTTCGTCAGGTTGACCTTGCCTTCGGTGTTGCTGTTGCGGTCGAAGAGGTGGATGAGCATCATGGTGAAGAGGAAGAGCAAGAATGCGAAAGAGTAGAGAATAAGAATGTAAGACACGTGGTCGAGGCCGGAGTTGGCGACAAGTTGCATCTGCTCTTCAGTGGCACCCATGAAGAGAAAGCCAGAAGCGTACAAAAGCTAGAGAGCGTTAGACATTTCTCAGGCATGTTTTTCAGGGAAAGGGAACTTACGAAGACAGGGATAAACTGCCAACTGTTGGTCTGGCGTCCATCTGCGGAGATACCAATACCGTCCTTGACCACAAATGCAACCTCGATAACACGAGTGATACCAACGCCCATCAACGTCTTGCCAAACATGTTGTGGGTCATGGCACTGATCGGAAGATCCTGGGGATGCGCAGACATAGCCCATCCAGTGACGCCGATGACGAAGCCGGGGATGAAGTTTCGCTTGGGGTTTCCATCGCGGTCGCGGCTGAGCCAAACACCAGCAAGACCAGCACACCACCAGATGATTCCCATGGTCGTGTGCTGCCAGTCGTTCCTGACCCATTCCGTTCCCCATCGATGCTCCGTAAAGGTGTTGACACAGCCCCATGCCGCGATGACGATGCTGTCAAAGAATTCCTGGGATCGGCCGCTGCGTCGGACCCACAGTTGTCCAACGAGTAGCAGAAGGGTCAAAATGATTCCGTAAGCGATAAAGGCGCTGCCCATGATGAAATGCGCCAGACACTGGCCGAGATGGTCGCCCTGGCAGAAACCCAATGATGTGATGCCGCCAAACAAGAATTGTGTCCAAGCCAAGACCGGGGAGGCCTTGCCCAAAATGCCGTGGGCAGGCTTGATGAAGCGGCGGATGCGGCCATTAATACCCTTCTCCAGATGCAGCTTGAGGTAGATTCCCAACCCGACCTGACAGGCCATGATGATCATGAGCAGGTTGGCGAAGGAGGCGTGGACGTTATGGGCGACGAATTGTCTCCCGCCGTGCATGTGGCCGAGGAAGTATCCAACAATGGCGAGAGCGGAGCCTAGGACCTGAGTCGGAACATGCCAGCGGTTCTTGGTCATCTAGACGAGAGAGGTGAGTGTCAGCAACCATGGAGGGGTCGAAGATCAAGGGTGTTTTGGGTCACCACTTACTCCCAGCACCATGCCGACGGGGAAGATGACCCCAAAGGCCAGCATCATGATGAAGATGTGAATCCATAGTACGGTGTCCTGCAATTATCGTCAGTCAGCGTCTCTGTACCGTAATTGCTCGTGTTTCTCGTGTTTTTCGGAGGTGTTTCAAGAGGTCAGGGAGTTTTGCTGGCAGCCTGCGTGCAGTCTGTCGCCTGCATGTTGGGTACGGTCGGTCGCTTACGATGGGTTCTTGCGAGACGGTCTCGCCCTCTTGGATGTGGCTGACGCCGTGTTCGTGACCGAGAGCCATGGGGAGCGATGTGAGGATGAATGCAGCAGCAACGAGCGTCTTGAAGGAGGAAGATTCCAGCGGCGACGAGGCCGTAGAAGACGAGAGTCGCGCCATGACGGGTGTTTCGAAATAGCAGAAGCGTCCCCTGTGCTGCTGGCCTGGGCTTGTCGGGGCGCTGGAGCCAGACGTGTCACAGACTTGAGCCTGTAGGAGTATTTAGAGCGGGGCGGGCTTCAGGGCGTCGTAACGCAATTGGCGAGGTTCGGACGAAGCGTAGGTACGGTAAGGTAAGTAACAATAGGAACCGGACGAGACGGCTGGGCGGTAGAGCAAGCGAATGCCTACAGGGCAAGGTAGCGTAGCGGTAAGGTAGCGGTGACTGGTGCGTCGAGGCGCGTGGGGAGGGTCGCGGGAAGGGGTCTGAGGGTTTCGGTCGGTCGGTCACCCCAAGGCTCAAGGCCGGTCGTCACGACAAGGTGAGGTTGGTGTGGGAGGGAGGAAAGCTATCTTGGGACGGCGACGGGACCCTTGGACGCAAGGACAGACGGCAGCAAGAGAGCACACACGCACGCTCACGCAGTCCTCCTTTGGGTGTTTTGTCGGACGGGTATGTTGTGGCGATGTAGTGCAAATAGAGGTATGTAGGATGCAGAGGAGAAGACAGCAAAGCGGATGAGGCTCCCGGCTGGACGAGAAAGAAAAGGAGAGACATGCGCCAAAATGGAAAAGGGCCGGTCGTCGTGGCCATTAGATTGTGGCTTCGCTGATGGACCTGGGCGGACGGCCTACCGGTACCTTGGGTATCCGTACGAATACCTACAAAGAGGAGCCGGAGGCTTCGGTAAACCGCACCTTGACACGCCCACATTGCGGGTGGGGTCAACTCCCCGAGGTATCTTTGCACTCAATTATAGGTGTATTGTACCTTTCCTGGGAATACAGCACCCAAACTGGCTGTTGTGAAGTGGAAGGGACGGCACTGGAGTCAGGAGTCAGGACTGACCAGAGCAGATTACTACATCATACCTACCTTAAGGTAGGCAGGCGGTGGTGGTCCAAAAGTAAGGTACTCTTACACACAAAACATTCGAAAAAGTACACTTTGTCTTCGCTGGTGGCAGCTGCTCCTACCCTCCACGTTCCCCATCCCATCCAGGACCTTCCCATTCGTCAGCCGGGCACCACGGCTCTTTCCCATCCAGGCATAACGGCATTGAGTCTATTTCCATTGGCTGAGACAGGCATTTCCCCCCCTCGTCAAAGTGGGCCCTTTCAGAAATGCCCAGCCAGAAAAAAAAGTTATTCGCCCATTTGCATTTTCCCCATCGCCGACTTTCCGTCCTCCGGTCCGCCCGCAACCCGCAGCGGCACAACGGGTATCGGTCAGCCAACAATCACCGGCACACTTCCTCCTCCTTACTAAGTACCAAGGTACCTTGTCTTAGTCAATGATTTAGTCAACTTCCCTACGCAATGCACCCCAATCGCGATACTGTCAACAGACATGTGTCAACTTCCAACAGTCAAGACTCGTCCAAAAACCAGAGAGCTAGACTCGCAGAGGCCTCCGCGAATACTGCCCCAACGTCAAGATGTCCTCTATCCACCTGCCAAGCTATCATTCTACATAACCCGGCTTAGCTAGCTCGGCCATGCCACGGTCAGGGGCTAAAATGCTACAAAAATGCCCGCAATATGTTGCTCCCTTCCAAGTCTGGCATCAACCCCCTTGATAGCAGGCCATGCTCACGAAGCAAGAGTGCAAGACGCACCTAGGCTCAAGCGAGCCAAGCTTTTCTTTTCTCTTGCCTATTGCTCCTGGAATTGCACAGCACGAAGCCGTTGTCAAGTTTGCGCTTGGCAAGGAACTGCTTGCTCAAGTGCCACGGCGCCTAGATATAAATAGGTATTTGCGGTCTCTCTTCATAACAAAACAGCCGGCCGTGATCGGTATGCATCCCAAGCGAGCTTTCACAAGCGGCAACCATAGCTACCTAGCTACGACTCAGGCATGACGCATCGTGATGAAGCCGTTGCCGTTCCCATCAAAACTTGAGTTGACTTCATCGACCTACTTGAGTGAATGCCCATCAACGGAAATCGGCTCTGCCATCTTTCGTCTGTTGTCTTGTAGTAAGGACAGCAAAAAGGGTCGAGCGGTTCGCGGTTCGCGCGGGCGAGGGCGTCAACTACTTGGGTTGAAACGACACGATCCCTTCTCGGGAATGCTTCTCAGGAACGTCCTTACTTGTCCATGAAAGGACTAGCTCGACGTGTCATCAATGCCGTCATATCTCTGACCTCTGTGAATTCCTCCAAGCTTTACCAGAGCTATGAGTGCAAACTTAAACTCCGCAATGCTCGATGCCCTAATTCCTCAGTTCTTTGCTGTTGCGATGGCAGGAATGTGACCTCCCGAGGATCACGGCAGCATTTCAGTCTACAATCCACGATCAGACTACCGGTACCAACTGATCTTGTTGCACGACCAGGCATGATGGTACCGACCTCGGTATTTTGCGGCAGCTGGTCCAGGGAAAGGTTGTTAACATTGCTCGTTAAAGCCTCGCGGGTAAGGAATAGGACATTAGCCAAGAGCCCTTTATCAACAGTTGTACAATCACGCTCGATGACCGCGTGGATACCTATGCATTGCGCCATTCAGCCATCCACGGCTACAAAAAGCTCACAAAATCTCTCACATCATGCGCGGACCAGGTAGATACTCGCCTCATACACAGTCGATAGAGATGAATTTCAGATGCGCTAGCCGACAAGATGAATTGCAGGATGTGCCTGTTGTTCTAGGACAACCTACTCCATGGCGGACACTATCACACAAAGCATATGATGACTACTAATGTCTTGTTAGCCACTTGATATTCTTATGCTTTAGTAGCCACATGACGGAAAGACTATTAATTATTGGCACCGTAGGGCTTACGCGCATGCCAAAATGAAGAAATTCGAGCTGTCCGATGCACCGCGCCGCCGCCGCCGAGACCTATACGGCGTAGCCCGAGCCACCAGAATGTCTCCGGCCAACCACGCATCGCCGAAGGCGCCAAGCCCTGCTGTCTCCCATGTCTCTTCACGAATCCCGGAGCCGCCAAGGATGCACCTCTCGTCTACCGCCGTCGCATGCCTCGGCTTCTACGTCGATCACGGAACGATTACTATTCTTTGTCGGATGGCGCAATATCACTTACATACCCAGGGAGACCGCAACTGTCCGCAATTTTTCACTCTTAAGTTCTCGCTCCCTGGTAGTATTCATTGGCACGCGCTTCGCTACACGAATAGTATATTCTCATGACGCTGGGCATATGATATATCCTTGAAAGCCCTCAAAACTACTTGAGATTCTCATCACAATCTCTTTCATTAATCATAAAGCACGCTTGTCCACCCATAGAAATGCCCTAGTAGGTGTAACGGAAACCAGGCTGAGCACCCTCCTGCAAATCCGAGTCAGCAACTATTCCAGACTTTTCAGTTTCGTGGGATATACTTACATCGTCAGCCTCGAGCTCCTTCTCTCCCCTGTCGGCCTTCTTGTTTTTGAAGTAGGCGTCCACGGTCAATAAGCCCACCAAGATACACGTCAACAAGCTGCATGCAATGCAGGCGTACATGCCCGGGCGGTAATGAGGCTTGTCCTGCTCACGGAAGAGCAAGCTGCCGGCGATACCTCCGATACCACCAAATGAGACGAGAGTCGCACTGCAGAAAGCTCGCTTCCACTGGCCGCGAATGTTGTTCGCCTGGTACGCCATCACAGCAGGGACATTGGAGTTGGCACCGGCCGTGGTGAGGAAAACGCCAAAGTAGCGCACCGCCGCGCTTGAGTGGAAACCCATGATGGGCAGGCCGACGATGCAGAAGAGCATGTTGATGAGGATGACGGGGCCACGGAACTTCATCTTGTCGCCCAACCACGCGGTGGCGAACATGACCATACCGGCGAACGCATACGGTGGTGCCACGAGGCACTGCGCGGCACCGACATCAAAGCCCATGTTGACCTGCAGGATGATGGGCAGGAAGTATGCGAGCGCATACGAGACGGTGGTGGTGTTGAAGAAGATCATGGCGTAGGCCCAGATTCTCCAGTCGGCGCCAGCACCGAGGAATCTCTTGAGGTTGAAAGCGGGAATGTGGGCGTCGCCGCGATCACGGTTCACGCGCGCCACGATCCAAGCGCGCTCGCGCTCGCCGAGGAAGTTCCAGTCCTTGCGCTTCTTGGAGTCGGGGAAGTCAACGAGAAGCCAGTAGCCTGCGAGGCCGAGCACGCAAGTGAGGGCACCTTCGATGATGAAGATCCAACGCCAGCCCGTCAGGCCCTGCTGGCCGTTGAGTTGCATCAGTCCAAAGGCGAGGATACCGGAGAAGGCAGAGGCAACACAGCCGAGGAGGTAAAAGACGGAGTACCGCTTTCCGACCTCATCTGCTTCGGTCAGTAATTGGTCTGGTCCATGAGGCATTATGAGTGGGAAAACTTACACCTGGTGTACCATGTGCTGAGTAGGTAGACACAGCTTGGGAAGAAGCCGGCCTCGAGGACACCCAGCAGAATCCTGCACGCATACAAGTGTGTGTACTTTGCCGAGAAACCCATACCAATCATCACAGCACCCCAGAAGAGGGTGAGTCCACCAAGGTGAAGACGAGGGCCGATCTTACGAACAATGATGGTCGATGGCGGCTGGAAGATGATGTAGGGGATGAAAAAGAGGAGGGAAGCAATGCTCTGTTGGAGTGACCGGTCAGCTTATCCACCATCACCGGCACATGTTCAACGTTGTCTTCACTCACGTATCGATTGTCGAGATAGAGACCCAACTCCTTCGTCATGCCTGCAATAGCAGCCGCAGACAAGTTGGTGCGATCCATCAATGACACACAGTACATGGCGCCAACAGTGACAACAAGTCTTCGGTCGACGCGGCGGATGATCTTGCGCTGCTCCTCAGCAGTGAATCCATGATCAATGTCGAGATCGTGAGAGTCGTTGATGGAACTGGTCCTGACATGGTCACTGTGTTCGAAGCCTGCCTTCTCGGGGTCTGAGACGGGACGGCTCATGTTGGATGGTTGTCGTTATCGGAAGTCGT